TAAATGTAAATAAAACTGTGAAAATATTGTCTTTGTTAAAATTTATATGTTTATATGTATAAAAATGTGATGCTGGAAAATTTGGTGATCAAAAGTATCTTTTTTTGGTGATCAAAAGTACATTTACCCTATTTTTTACATATCTATGCAAATAAGGAACATTCAGCTGTTGTTATTCCTTAAAAGAAACGTTTTGTCTGAGGCGTATCTAACTTATGATCCTCAACTTACCCATTTTCATTTTCTACTTATAGTTTGTTGTATAAATCAAGGCGGTTCGAATGCCGCGCGAAACAAGGCTTCGCCTCTTAAGGCAAGAGGCTTAATGCTTTTTTGACAGAGGGTATGGTTTCTGTTAGGTCTGAAAAAGCGAACTTTTTGCCGAAGCGAGCAAGGCTCTTCCTAAATTTAAGAATACGTGTTCCTATGCAGTTTGCCATGCTGATTCTAAAAAAATTTGTTTCAGAATCGTAGAGTGAAAGCAGAAAAAACTGCAGGCGCTTCCTGTGAAGGATGTGTTTTTTTCGGTTTTTTCATTCTTCTCGGTATTTCGTGAATTTCACCGTGATGGCAAAAGATTTTCTGGAAAGAAAGACCACGAGTAGATACAGCTCTTCAAATTCCATCGGTTGATGTATAAACGAAGAAAATCTGAGAGGCGTCGTAATTATAAATTACCGGCGCCTTAGGAACAAATACGGTTTTTATTTTCATTACTTTATTGTATAACCGCTTTTTTATACCATAATATTTCGATTGTATATTAACAATATATTCTATGGTATAAAAGTATTTGCTTGGAATAGGGCAGCAGTTTTTCCACCTTGTTGCCAACTGCAGAGCACATGTCCGACTGAGTTCAAATCTATACCAGAGATAGAACAGCGGAAAGGAAAGTCGATGTATTTTTGCCCAGATTTTTCTGACGTAATCTTGTACGGATTTTCTGGACAGCTCCAGTTTTCATCCAGCACATGATGATCCTCTGACAAATGGTCCGATTGAACTCAAATTTTTACCACGGATATTTCAGATCCTATATCAGAATATTAATTTTCCTTTTCGAGAAATATGTCTTCCTTCTTGAGGTATGGAAAAAATGTTAAAAAAGTCTTGTATAAAAGCTGGTTTTGGATTTTAGAAACCTTCCCACACCGAAATTTCAAGTCGAAAACGGTTAAAAAGGTTTGTACCTGAGATAGGACCTGAAATATGTGTAGTAAAAATCCCAGTTGGATCAGACCATTTTTCGAGGTTTCGTCACGTGACCGGATTGAATTCATTATCGAAAAAGCTCCTAGTGGCAAAAACACATTTTGTACTCAGATCACTTGTTTCAAGGCATTTGCGATAGAGAAGGGTAACGCAACTACAGAGTTAAGCGTCTTTTTCTGTGAAGTTGGAGTTTGCTTTTTAAACGACCGCAGTTGAGTTGATGACAGATTTTGTGAACCAAACTCTGATACTCCAGTTCAAAATTTCTTCAACTCCGGCTGCAGCAGCTCATGTGGAGCGCGCTTTTTCACTATCAGGTTTTTGGTTTCGATCATATCGTAGTAGTATGACAAAGAATATGCTTTCGAAACTAGCATTGTTGAAATGTAATTTAAATTTATTATAATGCCTTTTTTTGAATATACTATTATAAAAGAAAAGATGACCGTTATACGGACTAATTAAAAACAGGAAGGAAAAAGAGCGAATGGATTTTAACTCAGAGTTGTAGTTAGAGTTTAGATTTCTTTGCAGCGCTGGAGTTGAGTTAGAGTTGTACCCAGCCGGAGTTGCCCAACTCTGATTTGCAGTAGTGCTTATATCTCTACGAAAATTCATCAAAAAGTCTACTTTTTTAGAGTCCATGGACTGGAAAAACTGTTTTTTATGGATTCGAACTGGATCAGACTAAAGTTTTTCAGTACATGGACTGGACTGGACTCAGGAGTCCATATGGAGCTCTGGTATGTACATTACGAACCGCTGAAATTTCGTCTGGTAAAGCTGTAAATCTGCTATCATTGAAAATTAATTATCATCCATTATATATTCATGTTCGAAAGTTGATAGACAAATGAAAGCATAACTGTCTTTGAACTGTGCAGAATCATGCCAGTAAAAAAGTAAAGCATACTGAGCAGCTTATAACGAATCATGATACGATATTAAGTTTTTCCTTTTATGTTTTCTGTAAAACAGAAATTCAAAATCGTAGATTTTGTTGTGTAATGTTATAGAAACAAAAGAATTATATTTTATTATTCTACCTTTGTTTTATATGACTCAATTTACTATTTTCTTTCTTGTTAGAGCCACTTTTTGGTTGTTGTAATAATACAGCAATTTGTTGTTATGGCTGCTTTTGTACAGCATGTTTATTTGCTCAAAATGCAAAACAAATTGATGAGTCAGCCCCATGTCCTCAATGTTGTGCTTATTGTGCATTAAGTTTTTGTTGGTTATGTTGGGTTGTACATAAACCAAAAAGAGAACTGTTGAGGAAAAGATATCAGTTAGTAGAACAACAAACAGATTTATTTGCAACATGCTGTTGTGGACCATGCGCTGTTTGCCAGGAAGCGAAAGAAATAAAAGATCGAGGTGAGTATATGTATTAATGTTCTTATTCATGAATACAATACATGTATACTAATAATCATATTTTATATCTAACAGGTCTTCCTACAGCTCAAGCTATTGTTATTACAGGCCAACCTTCTACTCGAGTTATGAAATAGAACTAACATCTGCCGAATAATCCAAATATACTTTATGATTAGACGTTGTTGATATATAAACTGTCATATTGATATGCACTATTATTTATAATTTAGGTCTTTATTCACTATCATTTCTTTATTGTTACGACAAAACACCCTGACTTAAATTAAATATGAAATATGTATATCTATTCAAACAAATGTGAGAAATAAAGAAGCAGATAAACACATTTATATTAGATAAAATCTGATTTGAAAACAAAAATTAGTCCAAGACTCCACAACGTACATTTTTCAAGCATGGATTTAAACTAGGGCGTACTTAACGTGCCACTGTAAAAACACATATCCTTCTACATGGTACATTTTTTTGGGGACACATTCGAAGACAGATTAAATGTTCCTAATAGGCGACACATCCAATGTAGTGTCACATGTGTCTATGAAATGTGCTGAACCTATCGCAAAAAAATGTGCCACGTACAAGAACATGTTGGATGTGTCGTTAGAAGACAGAATTAATGTATCATCTCTAAGAGCGCTTCACTCAATATTTCTGTGTATCATGAAAAATCTCGAATCTATATGATTTAACTATAGGTATCAATGTGTGTAAAGGTTCCCGTTCGTTAGTTATCAGTCACAATAACTCAGTTTAACATTTACACCTCACAGTTTTGTGAAGCCACTACTTTTTTCTTAGGAAGTTTTTCAGTTCAGGTAAGGTTCAGGTGTCTTCTTCACTACTGATCAAAACTTACACACATAGTAGAAAAAGAGTCAGACAAGACAACAAATGAATATTTAGATTGCAAGAAAAAACATGGTGTTTTTAAGGTAGTGATTTTTGCAAATCAAATCCTTCCCTCTAGTCAAAATTAGGGATGCACCAAACCCAAACTCAGGCTTGGAAGTTCGGGTTCGAAAGTTTGGGCTCGGCTACGAGATTGAGGTTCGGGTTCAAGCTTGAGTTCGGGTTCGAGCTTGGGACTAAGTTCGAGTTTGGGTTCGGCAAGCTCGGGTTCGAGCCTGGTTATGATTGCGTGCTAACATTTTCACAGTACAAAGCTTTCACTATATTTTCCAGAAACAATAAAGACTTACTAATATCGAGCTCTACATCTTGAGGAGAAACACCTCGAGGTAGAGACATACCGTTATTGTTGACCAAGTGTAACTATTGCAGTCTGATTGTACTGCGA